AAGTTGTGATTCAAAGGAGTAAGGAGATACTATGGTATGGACGCTGCATGCGATTGGTTTATTTTTCCTTCTAAACGGTGACCGTCGTTAACGTTCATGTTAACCTTCTAGAAATCAAGACGGCGGGGCAGCAACCGAGGCGGCAGCGCCACCGCCAGAGGCGGCAAATTCAAGAATGCTCTGAGCCAACGCCACATGGGACGCAAGAAGGTCGCGGCGGTTGATGGCGTCGGTGGCATGGGCATCCGCCTTCGTGTCCTTCTTATCGGTTCCGAGCTTCGCGAGGCTCTTCTGGCATGCGACGAGATCGAGCGTCGAAGCTTTCAGAAACTTCATGGCGTCGGGGTACGCTTTTCCGGCCAAGGAGTCAACAGCTTCCTCAATCAAATCTACGGCCGGGACGTAGTGGTCCTTGCATTCGGCTAGTCCTTGTTGGGTGACGGGGGACAGGTCCTCTGCGGTTCCGGCCGAGAGTTTTGCCGACACCGCCTCCGACACCGTCACCGCCTCCTTCTCGATCTTCTTGAGCGAGAAGAATGCGATGCTGTCGGGATCGGACCTGTCGATGCCCGACAGTTCGGCGTCGTCCTCGTTGTCCTGTAGCCAGGCCACGCAGGTGGTCCCGCCTTTGGCGTACTCGCACGCCCGTGAAATGAGGGCGGGGTCCACCTGCGCGGTGGCGTCGGAGAGGCGGAGGAGGAGGGCGAAGGCGAGGGAGAATATGGGAAGTGGGAGACGGGATAACAACCTGGGTACCGCCATTTTTTTTTGGATCTTAATTCTTCTTGGTGTTAGAAATAGGTGGAAATGGAATAAATGAGTTGATGAGGGTAAAAAGAAAAATTAAAATAACCAAAGGAATTGCGGTAAATTTAAATGCAAATGGGAGGCCAGGAATAAAGTTGTGTCTCAAGCCTCTGGTTGGGAGAAATGTGTGGGTCGCTAAGAACGGTTGTCAAAACACTCTTCCCAAATATAGTTTTTACGCTCTTTATTCCAGATGTTCAAATTTGTTTAATACGGAGTAATTTATTTCTTATATTGAATTCTCACAGCAATCATTTCTATTTTTTTAAATTAGTCCTTGATAAGCAATAGCTATCAATATGGTCTTTTGTAATTGAGATGTATTCCCTAAATAATCCTCGCCCGAAAATAGCTATTAAATGCTAGTCAAATAGAGGATATTTTGGTATTTTCTATCATAGAGACTTAAAATATGTTCTCGAATTGCTCCTTTATAATTAATTATTTTTTCAAACTAATAATTTCTAAGTAAATGTTTTCTCAAAATGGAGTCCACGAGCCAACTCAGGATGGTCCGTTCTTCGAGCAGCTACCAATTTGAAAAGATCAGTTTGAAGACTTATTCATAGTTTAGATGATAAAAAATACGTAGTACAAAAGTACTCTCCATTTAACTACCATTTAATAAGAATTTTGACATATGACTATTTAGAGAATACATCTCAATTACAAAGAACCATATTGATAATTATTGCTTATTAAAGACTAATTTAATAAAATATTTTATTAGAAAGGTCCATTTTTGGTAATTTACTCTATTTATTATCCTAATTTCCAAGGCACCGAGAAAATCATCTCAAGTCACAATATCTCACTCATTTGAATTTCCTTGATGTTTTTTTCAAAATAAATCAAAATATAAAGAAAGAACCGTATTCCTATTTATTTTATGTTGTACTCCCTCGTCCCAAAATGTTCAATAGTGAATTTTTTTTGCTGAAAAAAGAAAAATGTGTGATTAAAATTTATTTTGAATCAAAAGAAATTATAAGACTCACATGTTCATTTCTTAACAAAAAAGTAGAAGTGTTAACTTCAATTTAAAACATCCGAAAATAGGAATGGAGTACTTTATGCACAAAATATGCCGCCATACACGAGAAATATTGTAAAACCTTTTCTAGGACTACATTTTCACACAGAAAAATACAATAACATGCCAAATGAGGATCCTATATATCCTTCGTACCAAAGATGAAAACTATTTTTTTCTAGGGATGGGAAACTGTATTATCATTACATTGTAACAGAGTTTATAGTACTTAAAGCGAGATCGTGTGTAGTGATCTTTATTAAAAAAGGAAAGAAGAAAGATTGTTACCGTGTCCATCACAAGCAGTTTAGAGGAACTTCTGAATGAAATCATGTATGTGTGCACTTACATCTTCTGGTTTCTCCTCGTTGCAAAAGTGAGCCACGCCTTCCAGTATAACCACTTCCTGCAGAAATGGAACATCCCTATGGAAACCACCATTGTGTATATAATCCTTCACGCCAGGGGTATTATAGGTCACGTCAAGATCTCCAACTACGAACTTAACTGGAACCTTGATCTGAGTACCTGTCCATGGTGCCATCAGCTCCCAATTCCTGCATCCATTAAGTAAAAAGCAAGATAATAATATTGTAACTCCATTGGGGTGTTGGGGGCAAGATGTACGTGCCCTTACCCCTGAAAAAAAACACTGAGAGATGATGCATTGATGCATGTTTTACCAAAAACTTCATCAAAAGTAAGAGGCCATGGAAGTTTAATGTTCCATTTTGATTTATTTTTTCCATCATTTACTCGAAGCTAGAATATCTTATGGGAGTGGGGTAGAATTTAAAAATAAGCAGGTGATACAAACCCATCTATAAGAGATTGTTCAGTTCAGATTCTAAATGTACTTTTGAGGATTGGGACATTTGAGACATCATCAAAGAAGAAGAAGAAGAAGTATCTATATGAATTGTCAAAACCAGATATGTATGAACTACACATATTGAATTAGTTTAATGTTTTAATCATAATCGAAACAAATACCAAATACTCCCTCGGTCCCAAAATAAGCTTCACATTTTTTTTGTCCGTCCTAAAATAAACTTCAAACTTTCTTTATTTCCTTTTATAGAAAGGAATGTGTGGATCACATCATTTCACTTTCTTCTATACAAATTCTGATCATACAATTTTCTTAAAATGCTGTAAAGTCAAACCATGAACTTTATTTTGGGACGAAGGGATTCTAATTAAAGCAAATCAACAATGGTTACAATTAACATCAAATATATTCAAGTTCAACTCACAAATCTAAAGCTCTGTAGTAGTTCAGTCCACCAGTGAAACCACTCCGGTCGAACTTGCTCACATAATAGTCCACATCTTCTTGTGAAAACCACGGAGGCAAGTTTATGGGTTTATCAGCTGAGCCTCCAAACCCAACACCTTTAGGCACTCGAAGCAGACCAGGATTCCGAACGGTTAGAAATTTCTTAATAATTCTGCTAGTCCCGGCGTGAGCGAATTCTGCTTCTGCTTCCCCAGGTTCCTTCGGATGCAGAGTAGTGAATACACAAAGTTAACAAACAACGAACTCGTGAAATGGGGGTATCTTTAGGCTCTAACATAGGAGATTGAAATCATAGAAGCATTTGGTCTCTGGAAATAAAAACTCGACTTCGAAATTTCGAACAGTTTAACCCACATCATCAAAAATGGATAGCAATTGCAGAGACTAAAACCTAAATTTCAATGCTTGAACTATTCATCTAGGATCCGAATTTCACAGGACGAAAATCAATGATAGATGGATTAAACTTAATCAGAAGTACCTGAAACCTGCAGATATAGTAATCCTCACCAAAGAGAGCGCGCATAGATTCGATCGGCTTCCGCTTAGGGTTCCTCGGATTGAAAGCAACGCTGAAATTGACAAGTGCCTTAATTCTATCGGGACGGAGCAAGCAGAAGTTCCACGCCATGACGGCACCCCAGTCATGGCCGACGAGGAAGACCTTGTCGAGGCCGAGCGAGTCGAGGAGGGCGACGAGATCGCCGACGACGTGGAAGGCGGTGTAGCTGGAAGGCGATGGCGGCGCGTCAGTGTCTCCGTAGCCGCGTAGGTCGGGGGCGATGGCGCGGAAGCCCTTGGCGGAGAGGGCGAGCATCTGGTGGCGCCACGTATACCAGAGCTCCGGGAAGCCGTGGAGGAATAGGATGGCCGGACCTTGACCTATTTCGGCTACGTGCATATTGATTCCATTCACGGAAATCTGTTTGTGCTGTATTTTCTCCATTTCTCCTCTTAGCTCTGCAACTCTGTGGACTCTCAAGTCTCCACGATTCCTTCCTCTCCTAACCGTCCGTTTCAGTGAAACTCACTATATATTCCCTTTCCCCCTTCTTAAGGATAATATGTGAGGTTCTAGTGACACTATTTGGTGACACTAGCCGTACTACTATGTTTTTTAGAGTACTTTCAGTGTTCTGTTTGTAAAATTGACGGTTCATACCTTCTAACCCACGCCCAAAACCTCCCATCCTACCCCACCTCTGCACCCCAACTCAACCCCGTCGTAAGCTCCACAAAATGTGTGGCTATTAGTACACTTATACTAGTACCTTTCTCACGTCCAACTCAATTTTTGGTCATCAATGATAAAAAACTTTCCTTCCATTTTCCATAATAGTATAAAATAATTTTTGAATATATAAATTGTAATTTTTATTTTTATATCAATTTGTATGTAAAATAAATTTAAAATACGGAGAGGAGTACTTACTCACAGTGCATTTAGTGTACATCAATGTTAGAGACTACATTGTGGATATTTCGTATTTTTATTTCACAAATAAAGTCATTTACTCGCTACGGGCGAATTTGCACCATCTTCGACGGAGCAAAAAACTTACTATTTTTTTTGACTTAAGGGTATGATGAAATAAAGTAAATTTGTTCTTTAAACGATCTGAGTTTCTTTTAATTGTGCAATAGCAGTTGGTGAATGCAACTTTTACCGCTCATCGAGAAACATCCGCTCTATGTTTTAAACATAGGGGTCAAGCAACATACGTGATTAACTACGGTGCTTTAGACGCGGATCTCTTTGGAAACAATCTATTCACTTTTCAGTAGAGATAAAGTCTATGCACACACCCCTCTTCAGTTGATGTTGTACATTAAACGATTAATGCATACATATACTATAAGAGACCAAATCGTATTATATTGTACATGGCAATGTTTACACTTTACATTCATCATACTATTTCTGTACGGAGTATATACTATGTTTGGTTGCCATAAACCATTAACTATAAGCATTGGAACAATGTCTTATATGATGGCAGAGACTTTAAGCGAAGACAAGACCACAAAGACAAGCCAGAGGAACACAAAATACACAGAGGTAACCCATGCCCACAATCTGGGACCGCCAAGCTCGGCACCCAAAGTCACTCGCCTGAAAACCAACACACCGATGCACCCAACCGAAGTGGCAAAAAAGATGAGCAAAGAGAAGCTCAACCCCTTTGCGTTTTGTATCCGCAATGGCTCCTTGAACACGACAAAGTTGTACAGTGTGTCTATCAGCCATGGAACCCCAATGCCTATATAGATGTTCACCGAATTGCTGCAAAACCAAATTAGCACACCAAATATTATTACATCAGGCCAAAACAAGAGTAGAAGAGAAACTAGAATTATTTGCACTAAATAGCACTTAAACATAAGTCATTTCCCAAAATAGCATTTAAATTGTTTTATTTTCTAAATAGCACTTAATAATGTCCATAATGTCCAGTGATGGCGAACATTTAATAAATAATGACTAAAAGTGTTACATTGGGAAAAAAACAAACATGTGATGCTATTTAGGAAAAATCATTATGTTTTAGCGCTATTTAAGTAAATTCCCCGAGAAACTAATGTATAAGCAAGTTCTCGCCTAGCTCCAATACCCAAAAATAAATCGAGGGATTGATTATCCAAAAGAGATGTCCCTAGATATGAGTAAAATGTCTTCAAAATACCAAAATAGGAATGCATTGTTTTATTCCATAAATAGGAATTGGCAGTGTAAATATTGGCCATGTGACGATCATATAGCAGTATAAATAGTAGAAGTTGATGGGGGACCACCGGTCAACGGTGGTCGGCGAAGCTCCATAGACCCACGACGGTGCTCAGATGGCATGTGGCGGTTTTCTGCAGTGTGAGTGTGCAAAGTGAACTCGAATTTAGGCAATAAAAAAAATACTACTTCTATTTTGGTATTTTCTTCATCTTTTACTTCTATTTAGGAACTTCTTCCTTGATCCAAAGCGGTCAATGTCATACTAATGCAGAGTTGGGCAGGTACTAGGACAAATGAAGTGCTTAACCTGCAAGTGATGTTAGCGATGGCCGAATCGGCGGTAAGCTGGCGTTCTGCAGCAATCTTGCTCGCGACTAGATCAGGCCACGAAGTCCCAGCTGCCAATGCTGTGAATGCAATGACAAAAGGACTTATTCCTGCACTCAAACACACACCACACCTGATGTCTGAGACATGCTTTGTTTAGAATGAGACAACAAGTTTGAACACTGAAAATAGTTTTCTTTGAATAAAAAAACCTGTAACACAGGATATTAGGTCTGTGAGCTGTGTGACGCCGTAAGCTATCCCACTGATGAAGATCAAAGAGCATATGAAGGCAGGCCAGCCATTGGCAATCTGATAGGGAGGTACAGATGCAAAGAGAAGCCTCCATGGTGCTACAAGTAATTTCCAGAAAATACGTGTGGTCCGAATGCACATGCCGTTCAGTTTTCTGGATTCGGCGTCTTGCAACTGCTCCATATTTGAAAGACATATATGTACCAAATGAAAATGGAAATGATCAAGAGCAAGGAGACTTAAAGACTTGGGGCTCAAGTTTGTGTTTTCATAGAATTTTGGAGCACGATGGGTTAAGAGAGAAGATGAAGAACGGTACAATGAGTGCGTTAACAAATTGTTGCTTCCATATTGAGAATATATCAGCTTCTTTGACAGTTGTTTTGTTGAGGTGGTCTGCAAATGATTCGACAACATCTGCACCAGGCAATATTTGATAAACATGACCTGAAAAAAATGTTTCAGTCTAAAATGAAATGTCTTGGTTTGAGAAATCAGCTTTCCCAAGCCCAAAATGGATGCAAATATCAACAATTTCCCTACTTTCTTCATCGCCGTCACATTGTGTTTCAAGGCATTCTCCGCGAACGGTAAGTCCATGTGTGGCATCCTCTGCAGGAGCCCACTCCTCGGGCCTCTCTGATCTTTTCCTGATATGCAATGCCAACGACAAAAGCCCAATAAGGTCCCACAAGTTTAGGTATACGCAAACCTTACCCCTACGCAAAGAGTTAATTGAGTTTTTAAAAAAGTCGGTACTAAAACCAAAACATACAGTGGGAGGGACAAATATGGCCAACGCTTGTCTTGCGCATACGCGTGTACAAGCAACAACCCAAACTGGAGAACCGTCAACAAAGACTCCCGCAATGTGACCACATTTGGAGTCCATACCTGCAAAAAATAGCAGAAGGTGTACAAACTTGAAACAATTTTTCAAAGAAAAAATTGTGTTCATTAACCTCTAGAATGATGTAGAGCCAAATGTAAGCCCAGAAAGACCAAAAAAGTTCTACAATCCAAACCCCGAGATCTGATATCTTTTTGAATTCGCCGGCTTTAGGAACCACAACACAAACCGCGTGTATAGGAAACAGATCAAATGCTGCAGAACCAACAAGTGTTCCAGGACCCAAACCTGTTATTATTGAAAGAATTTGTATACTCAGATGATGAATAATATGCAGAACCTGCATTATATGTATAGGAGATGATGGTTCAGGCTAGACTAATCCTGTGGCAATAAAAAATATTCAAAAAATGGTTGTGGGGGCGGGTACCTCCAGCATGTAATTTTCCAAGATTTTGTATTGCATCTATAGTAGCTAAAGAAATCTGGGGAAAGCTAGTCCCAAAGGCCAGCAGCGTGATGTCGGCAATTGTGTAATTCCAGACCTTCTCCTTCTTGACAACTCGGGTGTTTGTACGAGGATCGGTCTCCACCACTGTACGGCTGTGCTTCACGACAGTTTCCATGGACCGAAAAAACCGAGAGGTGATGGCCGACAAGCCAACGAAACAATAGAAAAGAGCCACGAAATAGAGGAAGGCACGCAGACCATTGTCAAGCGCAGTTTTGCCATGGAAAAGCCAATGAGTTCCACATTTCTCATGCTGTGACGCATTTGAAACACTATTATTCATGTTCTCAGCCATATGAAGTTGCTGGAATTTCACCTGCACCTCTTATGATGCATTATGTGCTGTAATTCTAATACCAAGATTTCATTTTTTGTTTATGGATTGAAAATGCTATTAGCAGAGACAAAATGAAAAACAATTTGACTAAATTTGACATTCTCTAATTAATTAAAATGCATAATATAGAAACTCTTATTACCAGTGGCTAATGCTTGTTCTTGATTCCAACAATGTATGATCTTGGAAAACCGGACGTCCGAACCGAAGGAGGACTGAAAACTAGTAAACAAACAAATTAAAGTTTGAAAAAAGAAAAACTTTAAACAATGAAGGAGATGAGAAGGGAAGAACAAGCAGAGTTTGACCTTACGGCGGAGCTGAGAGAGTCTCGCGGCGGAGGTGACACCGGACGGCAGGCCTCAAGGACATATATATATTCGCCATCAGTGAATTGCTTGCTTTACTATTCAATTGATTTGATATTCCACCTGAATTCTTTACATTAAAACTTCAAATAGCAAAACGGAATCCAACGGTTCAGATCCAGCAAAAATTTACCCAGGCGTGTAGTTTGACTTTAGGGCGATCTCTTTCTTGTTTAATGTACGGAGTATCTCTCAGTGATTGCTGAGGGGGACACCAAAAAGGAAGGAAGATGGCGACTTGCCTAAAGTATGAACGCCATCTCTTATCGTCTACTTAATTTTCAAAAAAAAAAAATCTTGCCAAGGAGATTCTATTTTTTCATATCAATTTACGATCACACATGAGGCTCATCCTGTGTAAATTTCACCTATAAACTTTAATTTCTATCACAAAAGTACACAAACTTTCAACATTCTTTCACCGGTGGTCCAATAAGCAGTTTCTAGGTTACTTTCAGGTTATTTGGGGTCAAATTATAATTTTATAAATTTAAATTTTTTATTTTGACCCCACCTTCCCAACTTTTCTCTCTTCCTCTTTCCAAGCCAACCCCCCACGCACCCATTCTTTCTTTTTCTTCTTCTTTATTTAATTTAAATTTAAATAAAAATAGACAACATCTCCCCCTCTCGTACAACAATTTATTTTTATTGGGGTCTTCTCCCAATATATGCATAAAATAAAAAATGCATTCTCATTGTGTATCTCGGTCTGACATAACTGGTTTTTTGGGCAAGACGAAATTGATAGTTCCGTTTTGCACGCTGACCTGACCATTGGCATTGTAATTAAATATGGATAAAGTATAAGATGTTTTGTATAAACATTACTTCCTCTTACCTAAAATGTTATGCACTTTGCCAAAATAAAATGCAAGTTCACGCACCATGGTCATCTTGAAGACCATAATTTTTAAAAATTCTAGGGGAGATTCGATAGCCAATGATAGGATTGCCAATTTACCAGTAGTCGTTGCAATTGCACGCACCACCTGCAAAATGGTGAAACCTATTGCAGTCTCTAACACTAATCTCCCGACCATAAACCAACGAGATCATCTTCACCGCTGCATGGCAATCGCGGCACATCCTTATGTTATTCACCACCCGAACCGGAACCCCCGGCCGCGTCTTCATGATCGCAAACGCCACCGCCAGTTTCTCGCTGTGGCGAGAAACAGCCAGCTCCTTCCCCTCCTCCTCCGCTATGTCCACCGTCACCTCCTCCGTGTTGCTCGCGTACCCCTCCATTCTTATCCGTCTCAACATCTCATCCAACATCATGTATATCTTCATCCTGTCTGGCTGAGACTCGTCTCCTACATGGAACTCGTGCACGGTCCCGTCCACTTCCACCAAGCTGCACCCGGGGACCTTCTTTATCCCCTTCGTCTCCATTTGAGCCCGGACCCGCCTCACGTCCTTCCACCTCCCCATCTTGGCGTACGCGTTTGCGAGGAGGACGTGGGCCCCGGTGTTATTGGGTTCGAGCTCCAGGATCTTGCTGAGCGATGCCTCGCATGTCTTTATGTCCCCGGACGTCCTGGCCCCGCTCAAGAGGGATCCCCAGACGAGGACGTCCGGTTGCATTGGCATTGACTCGACGAGACTCCAGGCCTCGCCGAGCAGTCCAGCTCTTGCGTAGAGGTCGACCATGCAACCGTAGTGTTGAAGCGAGGGAGAAATATGGTAACGGTTTTGCATCTTTTCAAAGATGGACTTTCCTAGTGCGACCGCGCCAGAGTGGACACAAGCGGAGAGAGCACTTATGAATGTGACTCCGTTAGGGTTCACGCCGGAGCCGATCACCTTTGAGAACAAATCAAGACATTCTTCCTTGTGCCCATTCATGGCCAAGCCGGAGATCATGGCAGTCCATGCTTTCACATCTTTATTCGGACCCAGATTTTCGAACACGAATTTCGCCCTTTCAATGCACCCACATTTCGCGTACATGTCGATCAATGAGGTTCCTAAGACGTTACCAATCTGCATTCCGCGTTTCTCAATGTAGCAATGAGCCCACTTGCCATGTTCAAGGGCGCCAAGCTTTCCACAAGCAGAGAGCAAGACAGACATGGTGAACTCATTGGGAATTATAAGCTCCTCCCTGGTTTTTTGCATCTTCCGGAACAAGAGCAATGCGTTCATATACTGGCCCGATCTCACGTACCCTTCCATCATACAACTCCAGGACACCGTGTTTCTGCTAGGCATACTGTCGAATGCCTTCCGTGCAGCTATGACCATCCCGGCTTTCACGTACCCGTTGAGCAACGAATTCCATGAGGCGGAATCTGGTTGGGGAATTTCGTCGAACACCTGCCGGGCAAGGTGGAATGAGCCGCAGGAAGAGTACATATTGACCAGCGATGTCTGTACGAACACGTTGTCCGACAGTCCGAGTTGGATGATCAGCGAGTGAACTGACCGGCCGCAGGAGAGGTATTCCGGCGAGGTGAATGATTGAAGGAGAAAAGGGAAGGTGTGGGTATCTGGTCGGACGGCATGGTAACGCATGCGGAGGAAGACGGAGAGCGGAGTGAAGGGAGAATCGGATGGATGATGGACATGGGCACGAATTAGGGTATTCCAGACGAAGGATTCAAGAGTTGGATATGAGAGATTGAGAGTCGGGTGGCTTGCAGATATCAGATTCCTGCTACTTCTTTGCATTCCCTGTTTTTTTCTTGCGTGTGCGGCGGGAGGTCGCTGTCCGGTGATCGGCGCCGCCGGCGACCCGCACAGTCTTTAATCACACGAAGCCCCGGAGATATTGGGCCCTGCTCATGGAGCTAAAGCTTATGTTATGATTTCACTAAGTTAAAAGGATGTATTGGGCTTGGACATGGATCCATAACTTATGGGCCTGGAGCCTCCTAAATGATCGCTTCCTTCCCCGGCAGGCCAGGGGAATCGGGGAGCTAAAAATGGAAGCAGACGTCGCCGGCGAGTTCCCGTGCTCTTCCATAGCCGTCGAATCCGTCCTTCGAATCGGTACAGTAAGTTCTTCTAAATTTTATCGCTAAAATTTCCTCAACGTATCGATTATTGTATCTATACAGAAATCAAAACACATCGCATTCAATCTCCGCAGGCTGGCTTGATCTGGGGCGGCTTGACCGGCCACCGTGACTCCGGAAAACAAGGTCGTTTCAATTTCACGGCACCGATTACTGTAATATTATTCAATGTTAATTCATTTCGTCATTTCGTTTCAATTAATTCTGTTCAAATTTCCACAGGCATCGCTACTCTTGCTCGTGTGCCTTTCATAGTATGTTCTTTTCTTCTGTTTCATATGTAAATTACTTGAACACTTATTTCTTCAGCATGTATCTAAGTAAAAGAAAGGGTATCATTCAATTGTTCATTTGATTTATTCAACTTGCACAGCCTGGTTTGAGACTTTGAGCATCTCTTTTTTCTTCTCTGTGCTTATTTTTTACTATACAAGATTACAAACTAATTAATGTGCTTAATATTTCTTGTCTCTTTTCGTATGCAGGCTAGATCAGTTGGTCGTTTTGGCTTTCAATGGGGTAAGGAAAATAACATTTCTGATATTCTGCATTTAACTAGGCAAGTGCTGAATTTCTTTGTTGTGCTCTAGTGTTGAGTGAGACTAGTTTTGGTATCTTGGTTTGATGATCTGGGCAGATGGGGAGATTGAGGCTAGCTTCAGGTGCCCTTTGCGACAAGAAGATAACCCTTAACATGAAAGGGAAGTATTATCAAACCGACTATGTTATATGAAGTAGAGTGTTGGGTTTTAGAGAAAATACCCGTTCATGAGCTTCAAGTGACAAAGATGTGGATGCAGAGGTGAATATGTGCTCGTACAAGGATGAATATAATCTTAAACGAGGTTATCCAGAGTAGGGTAGGAGTTGTATGACTTGTATCTATGGAGAATAAGCTGCAAAAAGTTAGACCAAGATGATTTGGGCATGTTAGGAGGAAGAGTCTATAGGATTACAATAGAGGGCGTGAGAATGGGTAGTGGTAGATTTAGAAAGAGTTAAAAGGAGGTAATTAGACAAGATTTACCACTTCTAGACAAGACTTACTACTACATGATTTGTTCGAGGATATGACCTTAGATAGGAATGCTTGGAGATCTTGTAGTATGATAGTTGGATAGATTCGTGAGCCTTAATTTGTAGTTTATGCTGATTTATTTTTATGCTTTAGTAGGTGGAGCTTGTGTGTTTTCTGTGTTCTTGTCTACTTATTAGAGTTGGTTTCTATGCTTCTTTTCTATATATTCATACTCCGTTCGTGCTATGACGACTTTCTTGTTCGTTTCTTCTGTTTTTGAACCGAGGGTCTCTTGAAAGAACCTTTCTACTAGCTAGGAGAGGTAGGATATGCGTACACGCACCCCCCCAGATTCTACTTTTTGTGGGGTAAAGTAGGAGTTGTACCTGTTGTTGTCTTGAGTGTCTTGAGTTTATGGTAATTGTGTTTGGTGAATTTCACTATGGTTTCAATCTTTCATAGTTTCATCTAGTTTTGGAGTTCACCATAGTTAGCATTGCAACAATAACGCCTAAATCTTTTCAGGACTCTTTGCTGCAATCTTCTCCTTCGCTCATTGCAGTATCCAAAGATATCGGAGGAGAGCGGATTTGGTTGGTTTCTTGATATACATATTTCTCATACTACACAGCACTATATATTTATTAAGCAGTATATCCCTAGTTCTAGTTTGAATTCACTTCTAGAACCCAATGTTTCCAAAACATGATTTCCTCCATCCCTGCCCCTATAGATACAGTACATGTTTAAATTTCTGCCTTTTGGTTGTTGTGACTAATTGGGTGTCTTTATAAGCTCATGAATGAGAATGAGAAGGTCTACAAATAAATGTTTGGGTGTGCAGTTTAATGTGGTGACAGCAAGCGCTGTGGCAGGGACAGTTCTGTGTGGGCCCCGACAATGGAAGCAGGTTGCTGGAATCACTGCCCTTGTTTGTCTTTTAAACAGCCAGGGCCGAGAGAAGTAATGTGAAACACTCAATATTTTACTTTAAATGAAATCAAAAGTTTATTTTGGTACAGATGTAGTACTACTATACCCCCTCTTTGGTCCATTCATGGAACTATGAAATGAAAGTAGTGAATAGTTTCATAGTAGTAATTGCCCCTGCTAGAAATTGCAGACTTTGTACCTGTTATGGTAATTAATATCTCATTGGTTCGGTAGCCACTGTCTTCTTTGGAGCACTTCTCTGTTCGCAAAACGAATAATTCCTACCCTAGATTCCCAGAATCGCCCATCCCAATCCCTGCTCTACCCTCCTCGTGGTCATTATGCAATTGCGTTATGACCACACATTTGGAAGGGAGGCTGGGGTATGGGCAAGGCAGGGTAGGGGCTGAGGATAGGGGTTCATGGAGGGTTATGTGGTAAAATCATCAATTTTGCGAACGGAACACTGTAAGTACTCTATAAAGGCAGTGACAACAACAGCGGCTCCGTAAGCCAAGTGGCTACGGAACCACCCTGAATTAATAGATGCAGCATTGTGCATTTGTACATACATCTGTGATATGTCCATGTCCATGAAGCACTCTACCAATCGCCACGGGTAACTCGTGATCACAATTCATTGCTATAATATACTATTGTGAAAATATTTTTTATAAAGAGTTTTTTTTTGTAATTGAAAATATCTTCCCCATCTCTTTGATGAAGTACAGTCGGATTTGAGGCTCTCTAGGACTTATCCAGTCCACCAACTCTTGGATTGAAGTAGATTGGAAGTAGTGATGAGTGAGTCTTGTGACTAGATGATAAGTTACATATGATCCATCATCAAACTTTTGATATAGTTTTTAAATATAGAAATTTAATTTTTAAAGTTTACACCTACAATCAAATAAACTAAATTTTAAATAAAATCGGTCAAATATCGTAAACAGAAACGTGAAGAACGTATTAGGATGGAGGGAGTAGCCTCTGTCCCGATTTTTATTACAATGATCTTCTGTCTTCTTGATAATTTTTGTTTATTTGTATGTTTTCATTGATTATTTGATGAAATAAAATATTTTTGTCACCTCTTGTTTTGTACTCGGGCAGAATTTTTTATGTAGTTTTTTAATATATGCAATTTTTATCTCGTAAATCTTAATTTGTAATTAAATTTGAAACTGAAAGAGTATATGCAATAGTATGGAGTATAATATTTTTAGGAGAGAAAAGTGTATCAACTATCAAAGACTAATGATGGACCAAATACTAAACGAATAATAATAGCCACGTTTTGTTTATTGTTTAGAAAGAAGAAATTGCATTATCATTATCTACGAATAAATAAATAGATACACTTAATTTCTAGATCTTATAAAAAATTTTAGGCTTGAAAGCTAATGTGAAAAAAGGAATGTTTTACACTTTTACCTATGCAAATGTGCCTAATCATAATCTTAATCCTAATCATATTCTTAATCATTTCCCCACTTATATTAAAAAGTATTTCAATCTCCTAAATATATTATTATAGCCTGATTTCAGAAAAAGACTAGAGTAAGAATAAAACATTAAAAATGTGCTAAAATAAGAATTTCGTATTTTATTCTCAAAATATGAGTTAAAATTGATATATAGTGCCAATCACAACAATATACATTACCAAAAGATATTGTGAAGTGTCCATATAGAATGCCACCTTACTACATCATAAATTTTTATTTTGAGGATAAAAACATGAATCTCTTATTTTAATATTTTTTTTAATTTTTTATTCATATTTAGAGTAATTTTTTCTAAATATAAATAATTAAATCCTGTAAAAGTTTAAAATATCAAAATTCAAAACAAAAATACTCTTAAATGAACTGAATTTAAGTAAATTTATTTTATAACTAAATATACTTTTTTTTAAAAATTTATTAACGGTGGGAGAACTTGTGGAGCCAAGGGATAGGTAAAGCCCATACGTCACATACCATATTTAGAACCTTCCGTTATAAGTATTTCTTTCCTCTTAATAAATTTACGAAACAAAAACGGTCCGAACCAAAATCGCAGTTTCACACTACTCCGCCGCCGTCCACTACCCTACCGCCGGCGGCGCACTCGCCGCACTATTATTAAAGCATCTGCCACTTCACCGCCACGCAGATCTCTTCTTTAAATTCCTTCACGCCGCGAATGCTCAGCAGTTCCATAGTTTTGTGCCCTTAATAATACTCTCAACAATTTGGGTTTATCTGTTTCTCTCTCCCCAAGAGAAAAAAAAGCCTATGGCTTTCGAATATCACGAGGTTTCTCCATCTTCCATTGCATGTTTTTTTTCTTCTTTTTTCATGGAATTAAATAAATGGGTGTTTTTTATTTTTGCAATTATTATTGAATTTTGAATATTTATTTATTTAATTTCAGGAATATGTAAGGAATTGCAGAGGAGTTGAGCTCTTTACTTGCAGATGGCTTCCCTTCCCTTCTCCAAAAGCCCTTGTTTTCCTTTGCCATGGTCTCCTTCTCCATCCTCCATTGCCATCTTTTTTTAAAAAATATTACTGTATTTTTAATACACCTTATTTTAAAAAAGTTATATTTTGCTAATTAAAGAGATTATATTTTGTCAGGGTATGGCATGGAATGCAGTAGTTTCATGAAAGGTAATAATTCTTTCCAATGATACCCACTTTTTTTTTTACTTTTTCAAATATACTCTTTTACCCCCACAGTAATCCTAGAAAAACAACCAAATTTGCCATCTATTTTAATGAATGCCCCAATTTTACTACTCCCCTGAATTGTAAAAATCTTCCTTTGTTTGATTTTCAGTGAGTTAAAAGTGTTGAGAAATGAAAACTTTATGGTTTAAATTTGTTTAGACAGAAAAAGTGGAGATTTTTGTGAATATATTACAGTATTAAATGGCGTAGAAATAAAGCATTAAAGTATGGGGGGAGGGAGTCAATGAGAATGGGCTTTCATCAAAGAATCACCACATGTATATATTATATTTAAATCAGACCTTATCCCCAAACCTCTCATCATTGTCTATAAACTAATAAAAAAATGTTTCATTACTGTATTTTTTTATTCAAGCAGATAATGCAAATATAATGTTGTGGTAAACAATGCTACAAAAAAAAATGTTACTTTGGAATTGTAGCTCATCTACTGTGCCTCTTTGGTTGACTAATTTAAAAGCACATCACTATCTTAATATACAGCTAGGAAGCATTTGGTCAAACAGACCTTACTCTACTTTAAATAAGTCTAACAACATATAAGAAATACATTTAATTTTAAACCTTAAACTTAAAAATCCACCTTTCTTAAATGATGGGTAAAACAAATATGAGTAATTTCTCAATGTGAAATACTTTTAAGTTTTTAACAATATTTTTATGTGTGTGCATAATAATAATAATAATAATAATAATAATAATAATAATAACTAGGTGTTGGGACAAAGCTAGCGAGCTATGGCTATGCCGTGTTTGGAATTGATTATGAAGGGCATGGGCGGTCAATGGGTTCTCGTTGTTACATCAAAAGGTTTGATAACATTGTGAACGATTGCAATCTCTTCTTCAAATCCATATGTGGTAAGCTATGCTTTTGCTTATTATCGTGACCGCTAATTGCAGTTTTGATTCTTGTTCTTGTTTAAGCCATCTTTTAGTTGTTTTTCGACATGCGTAAAGTTTGTTGTTTTGGATGGCAGCACTAGATGAGTACAGAGAGAAGAGAAGATTTTTGTATGGGGAATCAATGGGAGGGGCGGTAACCCTACTAATACACAAAATGGATCCTTCTTTTTGGCACGGTGCAATTCTTGTTGCTCCTATGTGCAAGGTAAGATGAATTAATATCTACTTCTATTGATATGATTTCATACATGTCGAATGGTAGTATCCCATATTAGTGTCGTATTATCATCACCTCGTGAGAGCTCTTTTGAGATTGGGTAAAGTTTGAACATATTCTTAAATACCATGTTGGTTTTACCCTTGGGTTTGCGTGTACACACACCCTCCCTAAACCCTACATTAATGGGATTTTAGTAGATTTATTGTTGTTTATCGGTCTTACCCTACCTTTTAGATATCGGAGAAGGTGAAGCCTCATCCTCTAGTCATAAGCGTCCTAACTAAAGTTGAGGACGTCATACCAAAGTGGAAAATAGTTCCCACGAAAGACATCATAGATTCCGCATTCAAAGATCCCGTGAAACGCGAAGAGGTTGACTTTGATTCATGCAAATCAATGTTCTAGATTTTTAAATTCTGCCGATTATTTATTGGAAATGAATGTCATTAATACATAGATAAGGGGGAACAAGCTGATATACCAAGAGAAGCCGAGATTGAAAACAGCTCTAGAAGTGCTGAGAACTAGCATGAGCCTTGAAGAAAGTTTACACGAGGTGAGCATCCCTATATATATGTTTCTCGTGCATTTGTCAAAAGCAGAATCTAATTGGATCTGATCTGATTTTATGAAAGTTTTGTCTTATATGTTTTCATCCGAATCTAGTTAAGTTTACAGCTGTTTCTCATAGTATAACTTTGGGAGAGAGGACCCATTTTAAAGGCCAATTAAAGTACCATAGTGCCATAGTGTCATAATATAACACCCAACACGGCTGTCAAAAGAACCTAAGCCAATTGGAACTAGATGCAATCTTATCGTTCTTGACATCGTTTGACAGGTTACGTTCCCTTTCTTTGTGCTACACGGGGAAGCAGACACGGTGACAGATCCAGAGGTGAGCAAGGCATTGTATGAGCAAGCAAGTAGCAAAGACAAGACGATCAAATTGTACCCGGGAATGTGGCACGGCCTCACATCCGGCGAGCCTGACCACAACATTGAAGTTGTGTTTTCAGACATCATTTCTTGGCTCGACAAGCGCTCCAAAAGCAATGGCGAAGAGACTAATGTAACTCCCCAAGAGATTTCCCCACTTCCTACCCCGGGGAAAACGCCATCACGGAGAAAAAAGTCGTGGTCAAACATGAAGTATTTTTGCGGCTTGAAGGGCCGTAGTGTACAATATCATTCTGCAATGTGAACTTGTCAACTAGTGCTAAATCCCTCATCTTCAGTTACTAAATTATGGGTTCCTATCAATAGAACTTGCTATCCAGAAATCGAATCATCTGTGTTATTTATTGTTATTGTATATATGCATGTTTGTATCTTAACAAGGTTAAGGACTTAAAATTAACATTCCCTCTCTCCAGAAATATTTTCTCTCCAGAAATATTTTTTGTTTTGACTTTTTTTGGTCAAATAGTAACATTCTTTAACTACACATTGTGAAAAAAGTATATATATAATTTTGATGTAAGTAAAATACAATTGAGTTCATCTTAAGATATAGTTTTGATATATCAAATTTTTATAACATCTATTTATTCAAATTATATTTAATTTGTAGTAAAAAAGTATCGTTATTTAACCAAAAAATGTCAGAACCAGAAAAATTTTCTGAGACGGAGGGAGTATAATGTATTGCCTAAACCCCCATTTCAAGAAAAAGATTTGTCACATTAAAACAAGGATCATTCTTGGTGTACACTAATGTTTTCACAAACATTAAAACAAGGATCATTCTTGGTGTACACCAATGTTTTCACAAACAAGATTTATAAAATAATGTGAATAATCAAATAGAAACAACCAATAAAAATAGAAGCTTTAGAGAAACCCTTTTAAGAGGGCCCCAAGGGAAGCCTCTTGCACACAAAAAAAAGAGGGTATATTACAACAGATGGTGTTATCAATACACTTGCAGCAACCAGCAATGGATGGTTTTAACATTGTATCATTCCATGCAATACATAGAGTACAACTGCTTTAGTGAGGGTTCTTTTTATTTCCAAAGCATCCACTTTCAAAAACCAGATATGGAAAGAAAAAAAGGAAAATTTTGACAATCAGTGGGGAGTTGCACCACCATTTGCACCTTCCTTCTGCTTCTGCGCAGCTGCTCTTAGCTGACGCTGCTCTTCCTTGTATACCCGATTCCTACGCTGAAACTGCAATAACAGGAAACCTTCATTTAGCGCGACAAATATAGAATACAGAATAATATAAGTGGGGTTAAAAAATAACTTTTTCACGGTTTCGAGTATTGGTCTTCAAGATGAAAGGCCAATACTGAATGATTTGCGGAATTATTGGTCCCTAAGTTTAAATCAAAAGTATGTGCATCGAAACATTCATGTTTTGTATGAACTTCCAATACAAATATTAGCCGTGAACGGGGTACCTTTTAGAGTAAAAAATTGTTTAAAAATCATATGTACTTATTGAACATTATATTTAAGTACTCTTATATGCTAAAATTGGATTGGCAGAAATTTCGTTGGGTGGAGCTTGGCACTAATATTTGAAAAAAGATATTCTATTGATAAAGAACTACAAATAAAAAAAGATGGAATAGTTTCCAGCATTTACTTACTAAGTATACTATATATTTCCCAAACAGAAAACAAAGTAATGGCCAATTTGAAATCTAATGCATACTTCTCCTAAACAAATTAGTAGTTGAAAGCACACAAAAAAAAGTAAAATCACTTCTCAGCATTTACTAAACATGTAGAGGGTCATCGCAGAAATAGTTAGCAACTCTTTGGGTTAGATTTGGCAAGCTCAAAACAGCTCAATTCAATAAGAAGGGATATTTATCGTGATCTAAGATCCTGAAAATACCTTTACGTGCATCCAAAAATCTTAATGAAATCTCAACAAGTTTAAATAGTTTAATAGAAACAAGATGTCAAGTGTCAAACATTGTCATTTCCAAGAAAATCAAAATCTCAACAAGTTTAAATAGTTTATGTATTCTGTAGTTTATGTGGTTATCATAGGTGTGTGTGGCTATAAAATTTTGGGTAGTGTAACAATAACTCCATCCATTCCCAACCAGAACCTCCCCCCAACCAAACAAGCCCTAAAATTTCATGACAAAAAATAGAATGCAAAACTATGGACTCTTTAGAATAGCAATAAAACATTGGAAAATGGAAAGATATAAAAAGCACAAATGGTTTAGGAATTGATTTCTCAGCTAAGAATATCAATAATCCATGAAATAACTGAAGAAGAAGAAGAATAAGAAAAACATACAAGTTGCATAGAGTGGATAAATTTGCCCTAATTTTCTGAATCTGGTAATAAATTTAAATAATTTCATATTCGTGCTTGAAAATTAAATTCATCAGTGGAGGAGCACAGACCCTGGAGCCCCTTCTCAGATCCCCAAGTGTTGGCTTATCATTAACAAAGACAATCGCTTTGTATAAAATCAAAAGCTCAAAATTCAAAATTGGATAGACATGAAATGAAAGAAAGAATCGGGAGAACAGATTCAGAGGAAGAAGAAGAAGAAGAAAACCTCTTTGGGATGATGGAGACACTCGAAATAGTCTTCTCGAAGAAGAGTGCAGTCCTTAGGCTCGCGACAAGTGGACATACATTCACTGAAATCCATCCAGAAATCGTAGCAGCGGCCCTTGTTCCCGGAGATCCCCCATCCCGACGCCATTATCCTCTCTTCTCCTCAGCTGAAAAGGTGTGAATGTCGTAAAGTCCAACGAGTAGAGGAGAAAGAAAGAAGACCAATTTGATCCATCGGGCTTTTCCGTAATGGGCTGCGATTACCAATATGGATTTGATGCATCTCCTCAATCTGGTCGTGTTTTACAATATTTGAATTATTATGAAAACATCAAATAGGAACTCAAAATTTTTTAAGACTAAAATATTTTCATATTACCATTGTTACACTCTTTGATAGGAATCAAGCTCATTGAGAGAATATCAGTAAATTGGGTCTTGGCCTAATGTAGGATTCGTACATTATAAAGAAGATCTGGCTCAAATTTAATGTAATAGGCTAGATAAGAGAAGATGTCCAAGAAACAAGATAAAGAAAGAAATAAGGTTGGGGACCTGAAAATGCTGGACCTCAGCCCATGAAGGACGGGTCACCCAGAGGAAGGAGTCCCACGAATTAGGGTTGGCCACCTCCTTGAGGAGGCGGACATATGGACAGGAGGCAAGAGATAGTGGCGGATGGACATGCTTGTCCTTAAGTGAGTGGCATTGAATTACTAGAATTGTCTCGGGGAAAAGGATTGCCCGGATATCCTCCCCAACCACCGCGAATATATTGATGAGATGTGGCTGGGGAACTCCTATAAAAGAGTAGTGAACTGAGAGAGGGAGAATAATTTGTAATAGAGAGAGAAGACACTTGAGTAATAATAAAAGATATTCCGGCGATCCTTGAGTATATTCTGATCCCTAGGTGGACCGAATAAAGGAAAGGATCACCGGTTTGAGTTCATATCCTGTGTGCAATACTTTCAATTACAGTGCATTACTATTTTCGTATTATTTTCTCACTACTATAAGGCCCGGATACTAGTATTATTTGGACCTGGGCCGATCAGTCATAAGGAAAATATTAGGCATCCATCACTGTTAAACTTACAACATAGTCACACTACAACTGCCACACTATCACTCTTACACTATCATATATCACCATCAGCTACCAGAGTGACGCTATTGATCGCCGACGGTTGACTGATTGCATTGTCATGTTACATTCTCATTACTTTTCTATCACATTAACAATGCATACTCTTACATCACACTCTGAATATATTTCTATTTTAGTCTTAAAAGACTTAGAATTCTCAATTCGATATTTTCATGTTTTTTATTTATACTTTTATATGGGAGATTTCTTATTAAAATTAATAAGGTGGGGTTCCAGTGACACTGGAATCCGGTGCCACTCCGGTGCCACAGGCATTTTGGGGCATCTCCGGTGCTCCGTTCGCAAAATTGACGATTCCTACCCCCCTAACTCACCCCCCTAAACCCCCTNACAAAATGTGTGACTATTATGCGTTCATAATAGCCACACATTTTGTGGGGAGCTTACGGCGGGGTTGGGTGGGGGTGCAGGGGCGGGGGTAGGGTAGGGGGTTTAGGGGGGTAGGAATTGTCAATTTTGCGAACGGAGCACCGGAGATGCCCCAAAATGCCTGTGGCACCGGATTCCAGTGTCACTGGAACCGGGCCGAAATTAATATACTCCGTTATTAAAAGTTATACAGGTATATGTTAACTTCAAAAACGTTAACACTAAACACTACTAGTAGATAATATTTTTAAAACGTTAACACTTATCTCTAAAGTTATTTTCGTATGGACCATTGTACTTTTTAATCACATAAGTAATGAAAATGGATTACGGAGTAATAAATAAGTTTTCTAACCTAGGCTATTTACCATATTTGAATCCTACTATAATCAGGATTCCACCTTTTAAATACCTGTTTCATTTGTGCGAAAAAAAAAAGACGCCTGGAACCGTTTCCGCAGAGAAACGAGATATGAGTCCCCTATTGGAAGAGGCAGAAGCTAAACCGGACGGGGTGAAGAAGCCGGTATTCCTCACGAAAGCTCAGAGAGAACAATTAGCTCTCCAGCGCCGCCGGGAAGAAATTGCCGAGCAGAACCGCCGCGCCGCCGATCGCCCTTCCAGCGAAGCAGCCTCGTCGTCTAGAGACCATGATAGGTCTTATTTCGATCCCGATCGCGACCGTGACAGGGATTACACCCGCTCTTCCCGTGATAAGGATCGTGAGAGGGATAGAGAGCGTCGGAAGCGTGGGAGGGAGACGGAGGATGGCGGCAAGGAACAAGAGCGTGTTCGATCGGAGAAATCAGCCGATCGAGCGCGGGAGAAGGAGCTCGAAGCCATAAAGGAGCAGTACCTGGGATCTAAGAAACCTAAGAAGCGAGTCATTAAACCTAGTGAGAAGTTTCGATTTTCATTCGATTGGGAGAACACGGAGAACACCTCCCGTGATATGAACTCGCTCTATCAAAACCCTCATGAGGCTAGATTGCTATTTGGCCGTGGTCTTCGAGCCGGGATGGACCGGAGGGAACAGAAGAAGCTGGCTGCTAAGAATGAGAGGGAGATTCGAGAAGACGTCCAGATGAAGGATGGGACTGAGGAGACACCGGTCGAAGCAGCCGCTCTGAGGAAAAAAGAGGAAGCAGCTGATTCGTACGACGCCTTTGACATGAGGGTGGATCGCCATTGGTCCGAGAAGAAGCTTGAAGAAATGACCGAGAGAGATTGGAGGATCTTTAGGGAGGATTTCAACATCTCCTACAAAGGTTCAAAGATTCCCCGCCCCATGAGGAGCTGGACAGAGAGCAAGCTGATCCCGGAGCTGCTCAAGGCTGTCGACAGGGCTGGGTACAAGACCCCATCTCCCATTCAAATGGCTGCAATTCCGCTCGGACTCCAACAGAGGGATGTGATTGGTGTAGCTGAAACAGGTTCTGGTAAAACTGCCGCGTTTGTTCTCCCTATGTTGTCTTATATCTCAAGGCTTCCCCCCATGAGTGAAGAAAATGCTGCAGAGGGACCGTACGCTGTTGTTATGGCTCCCACGCGAGAGCTAGCCCAACAGATAGAGGACGAGACTGTTAAGTTTGCGCACTATTTGGGCATCAAAGTCGTTTCCATTGTTGGTGGGCACTCCATTGAAGAGCAGGGTTTGAGGTTTAGACAGGGTTGTGAGGTTATCATTGCTACCCCTAATCGACTCATTGATTGCCTAGAGAGACGATATTGTGTTCTCAACCAGTGCAATTATGTTGTGCTTGATGAGGCCGATCGCATGATTGATTTGGGATTTGAACCACAAGTTGTTGGTGTGCTGGAAGTCATGCCGTCTAGCAACTTGAAACCAGAGAACGCGGATGAAGAGCTTGATGAGAAGAGGATCTATAGAACCACATATATGTTCAGTGCCACCATGCCAACTTCTGTAGAACGGCTCGCAAGAAAGTACCTGAGGAACCCTCATTACCCAGCATGTTATAATGGTTAAGGAATCTGAGAAGACTTACAGGTTGCAGAAACTACTGGATGAACTTTCCGACAAGACAGCAATTGTGTTTGTCAATACCAAGAAACAAGCTGATTTTGTTTCTAAGACATTGGACAAGGCAGGGTACAGAGTGACCACATTGCATGGTGGCAAGTCACAGGAACAAAGGGAAATCAGCCTGGAAGGCTTTCGGACAAAGAGGTATACCGTGTTGGTTGCAACGGATGTTGCAGCCCGGGGGATTGATATACCGGATGTAGCACATGTGGTTAATTATGACATGCCGAATAGTATTGAGGGATACACACATCGTATTGGGCGAACCGGGCGTGCTGGCAAGACTGGTGTCGCGACCACGTTTTTGACACTTGAAGACACCCAAGTCTTCTATGATCTCAAACAAATGCTAGTCCAGTGCAACAGTCGCGTCCCTCCCGAACTTGCTAGGCATGAAGCTTCAAAGTTCAAGCCAGGAGGCATTCCTGACAGACCGCCCCGGCGCAATGACACTGTTTTTACTCATTAAAGTTTGAGTCTAACAGTTCAACAAGGAAATACTCGAGGAAAATTGGAGGAAGGACCTTGTGGGATCCCCATTTACTTTTGGTAATGCTCCCTCTGTCCCATAAAATCCGAACAATTTGACTTCACAGAGTTTAAGAAAGTTATTGAAAAGTAAAAAGCATTGATTAGAGAATTTGTTTCGAAAAATGAGATTTTCCAGTAGCCATATATTCATCACCCAAACAGGGCAAAAAATGGGAGGCGCATTCTTATTTTCTTTTCCTTACACTATTATTTTCTCTCTCTAACCAAATATTTCCCCCGTCCATAAATAAATTTCTCGTTCACTATTCACGTGAATAAATTTTATTCACTTTGTTGACCTATTTTCGTCACTCATTTAATAAAATAATAGTCATGTCACCTCTAATTTTGTAGATCTTTTGATATAATTTTTTAATATGTAATTTTTATTTTTAAATTTTACACTATTTTTCATATAAAATGATTTAAAAATAACTTCAGTCAAATATCGTAACGCGCAACAGTAAGTTTATTTATAGACGGAGGGAGTAAGAAAAATTATTTTGCCATTTTTTGTTAAGGTCTTGTGTACTAGGCTGGCATCTTTCTGTAATGATTGGAATCAAGACTTAGGGAGTTATTTGGCAACTTCTGAATAGATAAGTGCTGAACCATTAAGAGATCTAAATCATTAAGAGCTAGAATATTGTTTAACTATTCTGAGGCAAATGTCTGATCAATTCAGATAAGATGTCTTAACCATTCAGACTCTGTATAATAATTAACCATTCAGAGGTAAATGTCTAATCAATTCAGATAAGATGTCTTAACCATTCAGATTCTGTATAATACTTAACCATTCAGAGGCAAATGTCTCAGACATTTGAACCATTAAGAGGCTGAAACAAACAGAGCCATTAAGTGCTGAACCATTCAGACATCTGAACCATTAAGAGGCCGAAACAAACAGCTCCTTAGACATACAACTTATGCATTCATTTTGATTTGGCAAAGCATATTCTTGATCTCATTTGAGGTTTTTTTTATAAAGAAAATGCACTTGTTTTTGTATGCAAAAAAAAGTGATGTTCATTTGCACTGTGAGCAAATCCTAATGACTGAAAGTAAGAAGAAAATATATGTTATACCAACAGATTACTCTAACTCCAATCCTTGAGTAAGGGAATCTGATTTTTCCTCCTGCTGGTTTAAAAAATTCAACACATATTTAAGAAACAGCACAAAACATTTTGAAGACATTGTTGGTACTGAATTTGCAAACTTGGTTATCATTCTTCCATTTCTTGTTCTTCCTCTTCAACTTCTTCCTCATCCTCATCCTCATCCTCATCCTCTTTACTTTCTTGTTTGTTTTCAGTTTCAACTCCGTCTTGCTTCGCAGCACCGCCATTATTTCCTGCAAGTTTATGCAAAAGAAAAATACTATTTCATCGGGACTTTGAAGTATTGGTAAAAGGCAGCGACACAACAGATGCTTTTCTGTTCTAAACAACCGAGCACTGTAATTCTTTAAGAAGTAATCAAGATCATAAAAACTTGGTATGGAAAAGAAGCATTACCATATTCTTGGAAGATGACTCCCCCAGAACATAAACCCTCTTCAATCTTGACTAGTTGGAGGGTCATCCTAGGTCCAATTTCTTGAAGTCTGACAGCACTTTTTGTGGAGGCTTTATTTATTCTACCAATATCAGTTGGTAAATTCACCATAGCTGCCTCATCATCTCCCTCACTTTCCGATCCATAGCCAGCCCTTGTAAACAAAAGATGGGAGAAAATGAACCAAATAACTCAATCCAATAGAAAAAGTTTCCTAATTCATTAATGAGAGAGAGAGAGAGAAAGAGAGAGGTAATTCATATTCTTTAGATTATTGAAGAACAAAACTTCAGGGATCTTGAAAAATTATTTGAAAGGAAGTCAATGAAAAAAGAGAATAATTCAGGAAATAGAAAAGCCTTGCTTACTTAGCAATGAAGTCACTCATATCCCGGAGATTGCTTAGATTAGGCACTTGATGGGTTTGCACAAATTTCCTTATCCTGCGCGAAACCCCAACAGGCTGCAATCTGATTGAGTAATGCCTGAAGTCAATAAGTTTTTTCTCCTTGTCATAGTTAAGCAGCACAATCCTTTGGCAAGAAGAAAGCTTCACCTGCAACATGGGTAATGACTGGTTAGAATGGAAGAAATGAGATGCGATACACGATTAATTTTGATACTAAAGAAAAGAAAACTATGATGCGTGTCATGATGTCCACTTACAGTGTTTATATCAATGACAGGGAAAATATTCTGAAACATAATAGTTGTGAGCTTCATATGTTGCTCCCCAGTCCCAAAACCAGACAGCACAATCTGTAACAATTAACTCAAGAAGTTAACAATTAAATACAAAAACAATAACTGAATCAAGACTGTGCAGTTATTGACAACATGAGGTGCAGTTTCTTGGTAAAGATGATAGCATGTGGANGACAGCACAATCTGTAACAATTAACTCAAGAAGTTAACAATTAAATACAAAAACAATAACTGAATCAAGACTGTGCAGTGCTTTTTATACTATTCCCCCCCCCCCCCGGAATAGTCTTTCATCAAGGTGCAGTTTCTTGGTAAAGATGACAGCATGTGGAGTTGTTTGAGTGAAATTACCAATGGAGAGTTTTTGAAAAGATCTGGAGGACACCTTGGACGCAATTGAGATTTGGCTATATCAGCCACCAAGGAATACTCAAGTATTTTAAAAGAAAGTGTTGGGCCTTGAGGGGTCCGAGCAACACGTAATTGGGGAGAAGTACTGGTTTTTGACAACATGAGGAAATGTGTGACCCCCATTGGCCCTGCAACATTCAAGAAATCTTTGAGATTATTACGCCTCTTTTCCTGCAAGACAGCAAAGAAATGGGAGAAAGTCAGATCAATACACGTACAACCCACCTAAAGACTGAAGTTTACTCTTGCACAAGTGTATATCAATGAAATACATTTGAACTCCTACATACTCCCAATGTTCTTTGTCCCGCAACTAAAATCCTAGTCTCCATTTTTTTGTTATCCTAAAATTAAAGTCGTTCTTTAAAAAAAGGCGACTCACAATATTTCCTCTCTTCTAAACAAATTCCAACTGTACACATTTTATTTTTCAACATTTTATTAAACTCGAGTCAATTTACAAGTTTTGTTGCACAACGGATGGCTCCCTTGGCAAATTTTACTTATGAACTTTCTAAAAACTCTAATTTTTTAGGAAATAAATTTACAATGTCAGATTAGTCATTCAAATGAGTATAGCTCATTGATGTGAAGAATACCAATGACCCATCTTTATGATATTTTACATAACTCATTGTAAATTCTATATTGAATATGGAACGTGGACACCTAATTCCAGACAAACAAAAACGAGAAAGTGGTCCATTAAATCGGACGGAGACAGTACTTAGCAACTCGGTAGAATAAGAGATACTTCAATGACGAAGATGTTCCACCATAATTATATTCCTTTTCTTGTTGTTTTAATAACCAGAAATTCATATGGTGCCAAGGGAGAGTCCCAATTGCTGAAATACTCATACTCTGGTAGATTATATGAGTTCATATATCTTTATTCTTAATATCATTGTTTTATTCAAATGTTAATATCATCTCCTAGGTCGTAACTCCACATAGGACTCCTGTACTACATATACTGTATGTAGTTCTTTGTATCAATATACCGATTACAATGTTTATGGTATCAGAGCCTATATCTTTTGAATCAGAACTCGTACACTTGACAAGCCTAGCAGAACAAGCATGTTTAATGTAAGACCATAATGAAATCCCCAAACGAACGGCTTACCCTGAGTTTGAGGGCAGTATGGGGAAGCATCAATTTTCTCAAGTCCATTTGCAATTGCCTAAGAGAAGCAGGTAACTTCTCTCTAGAAAATACAAAGCTCTTGGGAATCTTGTCTCCGGTTATATGATCAACAGTCTTCGGCTTCTTGTTGGTGGTCTTCACTGAAAAATTTCTTTTTCTCTGAAAATTGAAATGTATTCCAATACCTTAGGACAAAACTAACAATTTATTTTAATCATAATTCCCAACGGATGCAAAATGAAAATGAAGCTCAAGAAAACTATACACCATATTCAATTACTTACATTTTTAAATCGAGCCATTTCTTCACCAAATTGGAACAGCTAGTCCAAACCCTAGGAGCCTGTTTTATTTTTTCACAGTGTGCTGTGCTCTCTTAGTCCTCTTCTGGGTTGCGTTTGGCTGAGTGTCATCAATCCAAATGATAGCAATAACAATTAAAAATGCATTTTACACACATCAAAATTTATATCTTACTACAATAATCATATTTTAAATGTTTCACTTTTCTCAATTTTGTCTCACACTTAACAATTTAATTCAAAATCCACATTAATACAGAACACTATTTTAAGCAAAGATGAACTGCTAAAACGTCTAAAAGAAATTGTATAACACCCTGATTAGTGATTCCATACGAAATAGACAAATAAAAAATAAAAAGCTCAAAAGAAACAACACATAAACCATAAACCTTTGTTATGGACCAATAAATTCTATATATGAAATACAAAAATTAAAAAAAAATTGAAATACCTCGACGGAGGGTGTCAGGCACGGAGCCGCTGCTGTGGACCTGTGGTACTGCCGCGCAGACTAGCTGAGGCCTGGACGGCGGACGCCCTGGTGGAGAAGAGGAGGACGCGGCGGCGTGGAGGGAACGACACAAGAAGGAGAATACGGAGCAGATTTTTAATTAATTAGGCTTTCAGTCTTAACGGGCTGGGCTTGAGATTTTCGGTTTGGACTTGGGTACGCCAATATTTCACCTGGGGCAGCCCGTAATCAACCCATATATTTTGGAGTGAAATTATTAATTTTTCGAACAGAATATTGTAAGAATTTCGATGCGATCCCATCACATTGAATCAATATCATGAGAACCAAGGAGATACTTTGATTTATAAGAGCGATCACTTGTCTAACCGGTTCTAAATATTATCAAAAATGTAAAAATTAAATCCAAATATGTCGATTCAAAAACAATATTGTGAAACTCACATCAGACCAAACAAAATGGTCAATTTAGTACTCCCTCCGTCCCTCATAGATCTTCTCAATAGTCCTTTTTCTTTGTCCACAATAGATCTTCTCATTTCATTTTTTAACAATTAAAATACCACAACTACCGGCGGTAGTTGTAGTGATAGTATAGAGTGTAAATCGAACAGTCACAATTTAAATTGGGACGCAGGAAATAATGATACGAAATATAATTTATCAAAAATCTCGAAGTCAATATATATACAAATACTTTGTATATTATAAATATCTACTAGTATTAATTTTATTTATATAAAATCCAGTTCTAGTTTTATTATTGTGTGAATTGTGTTTTACTTAAGTTTCACTTTTTATAAATAAATTTAAAAAGACCGGATCACAAGCCTAGGTTCCCAGCCCACCCACAAAATAGTGGGCTAGAGCTTAGATTTTTAGGGCACGGAACAGACTTGGACTTTATGAACGGACTATAATTAATGATGTAAATAATACTTGAAATAATGTTAACAATAAGATTAAATATATAATAACAGTAATACTTCTAAGTCTATTTATTACTGAATAGTATTATTATTCTGAACACACGTATGTTTCTATGAAAAAGAAAGAGTTCGAAGTCTATTTAATCAAATGAACCTATTTTTATTGGTGTTAATAATATCACACAAAATAATTTACATATGTTATTTGTTCGTTGGGTAGTTATTTATCATACAGAGTGATTTTTGAATCTTGCATCTAATATATTCTCGAGTAAGATACACCTTCTGTTCTCAAAAACACTTAGGGGCTGTTTGGCAACTTCTGAATAGATAAGTGCTGAACCAGTAAGAGGTCTGAACCATTAAGAGCTAGTATATTGCTTAACTATTCAGAGACAAATATCTGATCGATTCAGATAAGAGCTCTTAACCATTCAGACTCTGTATAATACTTAACCATTCAGAGGCAAATCTCTTAACCATTCAGACATCTGAACCTTTAAGAGGCTGAAACAAACAGTCTAAACCATTAAGTGTTGAATCATTCAAACATCTGAACCATTAAGAGGCTGAAATAAACAGCCCCTTACTCTTTCATTGAAACAAACAGCCCCTTACTCTTTCATTTTTTCCACTTCCAACAAAACACTTCCATTTTCTATTAAAAAACTACTTTTACTCTTACTTTTTCATACTCTATCTATCACATCATACTTTTTCTCTAATAATCTATCAATCATATGCATCTTACTTTTACCCATCACATCAAGGTCAAAATTAAAATCAACTACTGTATAATTTAACACTTCCTTATTTTGGCTCCAAGTCAAACTGGGAGCGTTTTTGCAAACGGAGGGAGTATTACTTTATTCTTAAAGATTTTTTAAAATTATTTAATATTTATTATGAAAGCGGGCAAAGCCAACCCGAAGCTTGTGGGTTTCAATCGTTAAGCACGTTATGCAACCCAGTCCAAACACGTGCCTGAAACATTCTCGTAATGTAGCATTTCAACCTGTCCATAATCTAGCTCGACCTGCACTTTGATTAGGCCTAATTTACAAACCACTAAAAAACATGTGGAATTCTTTTTTTTGAAACCCAAGTATAATTGTTTTTACATTAAACTTTCACTGTGTCAAAAACATTATTTATGTGTTTTAACATGACTTCAAGTGTTCAATATTTATCCCTTTAGTTTATGAATATTGTTAGAGCCCGGTTCCATGGCCACTGGATTCCAGTGGCCACGGAAGCCACTGCCCCCCTACGGAACTCCGTTCATAAAATTGATTATTCCTACCCTCTAACCCCCCGCCAAGTCCCGACCCAAACTAATCATCCTACCTACATCAATTGCATCTCGTAAGTATAAAGTCAAAACTTTTGACTTTAAAGTCAATTATACTTACGAGGTGCAATTGTCATAGGTGAGTTGATTAGTTTGGGTCGGGACTTGGCGGGGGAGTTTATCAGGGGGTTAGGAAGGATAGAAATCATCAAATTTATGAACAGAACTCCGTAGTGAGGCAATGTAGCCATGGAACCGGGCTCAAATTGTTATAGTTTATTCTCTATTTTTGTGTACACACTCCTGAAACTTTACTAGGCATGTTGTTCCTTGTATTTATTTCTTCGGGTGTCCTACTTGGTTCTTATTTTTTTCTTAAATGAAAAGACTACTCATCTTTTATTACAACTAGAAGATTGTTTCTCTTATTTTTGTATTACTCGTCTTTTTTACGCCTCTACACCTTACCACGCCACCAAGGCCATGCATGAAAAGTAAAACATTGCTTTAACTTACATTAAAAAGTGTGTCAAATCAAACGAGATAAAAAAAGTATGGAACAAAAGAGTAACTAAATTATTATAAGCATTTCTTTGAGTATTCATTTTCCCGTATATAAATGTTATGTTTGGGAACAGTATTTTCGGTTAGCATTAGTGTTAAAAATAAAATTTTAATGGTGTAGACAATTCTAAAAATACTAACGCTAAAAGCTACCGTCAAATAACTTTTTCAAAACGCTAACACGGATCTTTAACACTTATGCCAAGCGGAGCCAAAAGCATACGTGAAAATCCATAGATCTCGAGAGACATGGGACTCCATGTGGGTTTGTATGGTGGGGTAAATTAGGATACCCTTTAAGACTATCGAAACAAAAATACTGATTTAGAGATCATTCAAATTTCCAAAGAGAAAATACTTGTGTATGGGTTGCTGAGAAATGCGTGAGTAGTCTCCACAAGCCTAGGAGGGGTATCAAAAGACTTAATGATTTACAAAGATACCGGTTTATAGAGCGTTCAAGCATGGATTAATATTTCGGGCAACGCCATCTCAGGAGACAAAGAAGGCATTGTCTCTACCCTCGCGCTGTAAAAGAAAACTGAAAACTCATAGTCAGATTTTGTGCATAAAGTTGATATGATCTTGGAATCAGGATGAGAAAGTACACAAAACGAAATAGTAGCAGCAGAAAAAACAGTTGTTAGCTCCGTCATGTTACAACGCATGTAAGAATAAGCAGTCCGATACTACCCCATTGGTCTAAAGCTCAGAACACTAGATCATAAGAGTAGGCCTCGCGAGTGTAGTAGGGGATAGGACCGACAGTCTTGCAGCAACCTATGCATGACATGTGGGCAATTGGAGCAGTTAGACTCACACACAAGACATTAATTTAAAGGTACAATACAGAGTCAAGCACAAAATCAAGTACCATCTACTTAGGGTTTCGGAGGACAATGATCACTGAATCTCCACGAAGGAACATCTTGCTGATGAACCTATCCTTGTTAACAGGTAGGGCTTTCTTTTTCCCTTTGCCAGTCTTGGGAACCTGGAGAGAACATTAAAATATGTCAAAACAAATGACGGGTGGGGGGTTGTTGAAGCTGTTTATGAAAAAACCAGTAGAGCAAAAAACGTATGACCTCAGTCCACATTTCTCTAACATTTTCCAGCACCATGTTGCAGTGACGATCAAAAGCCCTAACGCGGCCTAGAAGCTTCCTGTTGTTACGACAGTTGATGAGGACCTACATGCAAAAAAAGGTCACATTCACTTTTCCTTGTCAAAAAACTATACAGCATAGATCCTATTAACCTGTCACTTTCCTTTTAAGTACATTTCAGAATAATATCACTCTTCTCTTACTCTTTAAATGAAAGCAATGTTTTTTTTATATTTTTGTTCATTTTTAAATAAATGTCACCCACAAATTCAATTTTATACAGCATAGATCCAATTAACTTGTCACTTTCCCTTTATGTACATTTCAAAACAATATCACTCTTCTCTTACCCTTTAAATGAAAGAATTGCTTTTCAAATATATTCATTCATTTCTAAATAAATGTCAACCACAAAAATTCAATTTCTTATGAGCATGCCAAGGCAATGGGGACTGTGAGATGCACATTTAGAAGCAGAGCGTATATATATATATATATATATACTACATCCATCCCGTTATATTCGTCCAGTTTTGACTTTTGGAACTGTTCATCTAAGCACTTTGACTCATCAAATTCTCTCAATGTGTAAGCCTAAATATAGTCATGTGTAATCTTGTTTAATTTGTCTTAACATATAGATTATTGATATATAATTTCTATAATTTTTTAATATACAAATTACACGATAAAATGGATTAAAGAAGTGCATTGGATGGTGTGTAAAAATGAAAGTGGACAAATATAGTGGGACGGAGTACATACATACATACATACATACATACATACATACATACATACATACATACATACATACATACATACATACATACATACATACATAT